GGTCTAATGTGGTGTTTTTCTTCCCTGGTGTACAGGTGTCTGTGTTCAGTCCTGCCCCCAGGAAGCATTATCTCAACATAACTCCAGGCAATATTTTACAGATCTACCCACCTGACCCTCAGTACATCAGTAACAGCCAAGCTCTGGTTAGTAAAAACAACAAAGGAGAGATGAAATCTTATAACAGGGTAATTTAGTTTTATCAACTGAGTTCATAACGTAAATTGGCCGCCGTAAAGAGTTTCAAAGCTGACGTTACGAGCATTAGCCCTTGCCAATCGCTCTGACCAAGGGCTAACGCTCGAAATGGCAGCTTAAAATCTCTTTACGGTGGCCAATTTACGTTATTAACTCAGTTAATAATACTAAAAGTTACCCTGTTACACTCTCCATATTCATTGAAATCTTATAACTTTTATTTAAGTTCGCAATGACAGTTCTTCCCAAGCTTCTGCTCAGTTGGAAAGTTATTTGCATGATTATAGTAAAGTGGAAATGTAGTTACTACCTTCATAATGATTCTAACAGTGACAAAAAAAAATTATCCTTTAGGTGTTGAGTGCAGTACACTGTGCATAGATGCAAAGTTTAGATTTACTGTAATTGTAGGGATGTTATTGTACTAATTATTAAAACCTTTTTTAGGCCTCTCAGTGCACGCAGAAAGAGAACAAACAAGATCAACAAAGGTAAATGATTTTTAGGAGACCACAAGCTAAAAAGCTGTAAACGCTGTTATAATCCTTCCACTCAGTAAGGCCCCCCTCTCTGATAAGCATCCTCGTGCGAAATTTTAAGCGCCAGTCGGACCTGCCCTCGACTACAAAATTGTTGACACGTTGATCTTTTCAACCCCCTTATTTGGTACATTTAAAGTATTTTTGAAACTGATACTTAATGACACAACTACTCAGTTTTTTTTTCGTTCTTTTTTAGAGCGATTGCGCTTGTTAAATTTTTAGCACCCATTTGAGGGTCTGCAACGTAGACTAGACGCCCTTTACAATTAAAATTTTTTGACAGGGTTGTCATAGAAGATGAGAATATCAGCGAAAAAGAGGAATGTGGTTCTAGTAAATTGGTGAATACCTCAGAAGAACGGACGACTGTAACTACAGAGCACGAATGGTTTCAGCAAGGTGAATCAATTTTTACATGTTGACAAAACAAAACAAAACAAAAAAAGCAAACATTAAAAGAAGAACAAAGTGTCCCAGGGAGCAAGTTCCTAGGACCCTGACCAAGAATCTTGTATTAGAATTTCACCAAAGTTCTACGAAATTGCTGTTTGAGAGAAATGCCCTTTGTTGACTGGAGTGTCGCGATGTCTTAGCTGAATGATCTAAGGGAAGAACTACATTATTAAAGTCTCGTTTTCTGAACTGTCACCGTTGACAGATGTACCACATATGTAAACATGTTTGAAAAATATTTTTGGTCCAAGGGCGAAAAAAAACAAAATTAAAACTTTTGGTCATATTGTTTATGAAGGTTTCAATAGCGCCTTCGTCTGGACCATTTAAAAATAAATTTCTTCTATATGGTCTTTTTGTGGCCTGTTCATTTTACTGGTGCTTTAATTTTGTTCGTTTGTTTGTTTGTTTTAGATTGCATGGATGACCTTTTGGAAGGCCTTGACGATGACGAAGACTTTCTTGACGAGGCATTGCTCTTGTAGAAGTAAGACCTGAAGTTGTGCAGCAGAGGTACACAGCTGTATCGTTTTATCTTGTAAGGTGAAATGGTTGAAAATTGTCTCAAAAAGCCGGGGAAAATTTCCAGTGTCGTAACTTATGTAACTTGTATAAGAGTTACAAGAGGCTGAGAAATGGGAACAGGATTAACCCTGACTCAGCAAGTGAATGGCGTTAAAGGGTATAGTATGATGTGTAAGAGGTTGTGATAGTTCGTTAGTCAGAAATACCTCTAAGAGCTTAATGTATACCAACTCGATGTAAAGATCACGCCAATATTATGGGCCAGCGGTTTTCTCTGGTCTAATTTTTAAGAAACAATCACGTGTTCTCCTAACGTCTCTTTCTCAACGAGGTGAAAGTTATGCTTTCCCGTTCGGTTATTCCTCAAACATTAGACAACTCCCGAGTTCTAAAACCCTCACTTTTGAAATGAGGCTTGAAGCAAAACCTTTCTTTTGAAAATGATCTCGATCTCTCGAAAATGATCTGTTAACTGTCCACGAATGAATGCCGAAGACCTTCACTGTAAAAATACTTTAACGTAAGCCATGTCATACGTGAAAAACAAGAATGTTATTGAGTATAAGTATCCAGAATGATGAATTAGAAAAAAAAAATCCAAAGAGGAAGTATTATTTGGAACAGAGGTTTGAAAACGTTTAAGAGATGAGGACTTAACAGGAAGTAAACCTTGTATTATTTGTTGTACCATGATTTAACCTTTGTGAATAAAGGAATTTAGGAAGAGAAAGGAGGTTGAGTGTTGCTGGTGAGCCTTTGTCTTTCTGAGCCAGGAAGTCTCTTCCAATCCTTGACGGGATTTAGATAGAAATTTATTTTAACCAAAGCAGAAACGATTCTAAATATATTTCTTTAATAACAGTTATTGTAAAAGCATCCTATGTGTCGTTCGAGTAAGCAGTTGATTGAAAGGACATTTCCTTTAATGGTTTTTCACTTTACGAAAATAATGCCATCGCCTCGTGTTATGGAAGAAGGAAACTTGTAAGGCTGTATTAAGATTCGTAGCCAATTTGCGATTTGTATGTATTTGAAATCGAAAACTTTAGTCGTGCAGAGAGAATGAAACTGGTTGAAACGTTAGAAAGAGGTTTGTTTGGACTTTGACGCTCAGCAGAATAAATAAACAAACTTATACAAAAATCCAAGGTAGTTTAAGACTTTGATATTCAGCATTAATATTCAATAGACGTATTGGTTTCAAGTATTTACTTTAAATTCTTATTGGCTCTTGTTTAATTAAGTTACCCTTGTTGTGATTGTTCGTGATGATTACTTTAGTTTTGCCATATTTTATGACTCTCAGTCGAAAACCGCCGTACTCTTCTGAGCGCAGTTGTTCAAAGAGTGGATAACGCTATCCAATGGAAACGTTCTACGCTATCTACTGAATAGAGATTTATCTACTCGATAGCCCCATGCATCCTTCAAACAACCGGGATCTGGTAGTTTGTTGTCGAATGTAGGTATGATTTTGAAACTTCCTTCTTAGTATGGAAAAGTGGCTTATCATCTTGAGAAAACTAATACACAAATTTCACTATTTTAATAACTAACTCTTTCAACTGCTAAACAGAAGTCGTGGCGGTACCATTTTCCCCTGCCTCTTCATATTTCCTTTTTATAGATTTAGGATTATACAAAGTCTTTAACATTAAGTTACTTCTCCTCCTGTTACGGAGGTAGTCTGATATATCCGGGAATTCTGCCTCGTCCTTGTTCGTATTGAAGTCCAGTAACTTCCTTTTAACTGCGCCCGAGTACTTTCGCGTGCCTTTCTCGTGGAAATTGTCACCTTTCATGTCTTGGTAAATGAAACCTGCTGCGAAGAGTCTGTTCTCGAGGGAAAGAAAAAGTATGGCGACCAGCGCCAGGGAAGCACCAAGAAAGAAAACGCCGCTCAACGAGTAAACGTTCAGTCTTTGATGATGTTCTTCGCTTCTGTCCTCGCCTGAAGAAACCCATTTCTTGTAGAGTTCGCTCGGCCTGTGAATAGGGACAAAATTAGGCTTTTCGCGCTGTGATTGGCCTACTTGAACACTCGCGCCACGCTTTTGACCAATGAGATTCAAGCCCAAACTAATCACCGCTTGTGATTGGTTTTAAGCGGCTCAATCACATGCGTTCCAGCGTTTTCTGCACGTTGCGTTTGTTTCGTTTGCCTTTCATGGGGTTGTTTTATTTCCTTTGTTCTGGTCGACAATATTTTTTTACTTTTGTGACGGCTTACAGAGAAATTTTTACACCGAAGGTGTGTTCTTTCGTGACAGGAGTCTCAACCCTTAACCCCTGAGAATGACCAGCATCCAATTTCTCTACACATTACCACTACTGAATCAAACATTGAGGTTATGAGAAAATAGAAAATGAACACCCAGTCAAGAAGCTCTTGATTGTTAAACAAATTCTCGTTTTCAATACCATACGAAATGTATACTAAATAGTGAGGGGAATATGCATACTGATGTTAGGGTGTAAAGAGTAGTAAAGAAAGCCGTTGTGAACATAGCCCACTTATTGGCAAAGGGAACAGAACCTTGGTAAATGTCGATACCTTTCATACGAAGATATTTTTAGTTCATTCCCAGAAAGTGTAAGGCTAAGAAAACCGTGCATCGCAAAATTCATGAAACATTGCGAACAATCCAGTGTATTAAACATCATTTGAAATTTCCGAGGCAGCTAGTTTTCTCAGAATCCCAGTTTGATGTTATTGAAGTCTTCCTGAGATTTTCGCAATCTAGTCAGCATTTAGGATGTGGCCTTTTTTAATGTCAATATATACTTATTTTGTGATATTCATTCAAATTCGATCGACTACTCGGGCATTTCTTACTACTTACACGTTTTCAGCTTTCATCCTGTTGATGACCAAGTCAAATTTCGGTTTCCATGGAGAATTTTTTTTAAACGCGTAAGAATATCCACTCTCAGCGAAAGGCTTGGCAGCTCCAACAACCTGTAATCGAGGATATGACGGAGATTTCTGTTTTGCCACTTCGTAGTCTAAGGACAAAACCTCACTGATGAAAATGTCCAATTTCCTGAGGAAGAAACATTGCGTCAGTTGATAATTACTGAAGGAGTCGCGAGTGAATGGTGAGCGTGCTGCATTTTGAGTTAAAAGGACTGGGTCTGAGCTCAGGCTGTGTGATTGTGTTGCGTTCTTAAGTGAGGTGCTCTACTCTCGTTATGCGTCTCCACCCGGGTGTGTAGCCGGAAGGGAGGGAAGAGTTACTCATCTGTTCACCACCACCACCCTACCCGGGAGAAATAGCAAAGTTACTTCTTTCTTCACGCTGTGTAAATTTCACAGCCTTTTATTGGGATAAGGGGGGGAGGTGGGGAGGGGGCAAACATTACGTAGCATCGAAAAGAACGGCTACGAAGACGACTTCGGCTACGCGGGTTTTTTCAGTGGGCCCATTCGTTCAAAGGCCGGATAAAGCTTTCCAACGGATAAGTCGCTATCGAGCGGATACGAGTAAACAAAATGTTTTCCACTATCCACCGGATAGAGATTTTTCCAGCGGATAGCCGCTGATAGCATTTCCATCCTTTTAAAAGACCGGACCTGGAATATCTCACAAAATAACCAAGCTTTCTTCCACTTGCCTTTGTCGCCTCTTTAGATGCGTTAACCTCAAGCGGTGTCGTTTTAAGCACAAGTGAGACATTTTGACGAGGCTATCATAGAACAGGAAAAACATGTCAAACCTGTTTCGAACTCGTTCCACTCCATCTGTGAAGTTATTAACCAAGTGATTCTTATCACGCATGCGCCTGAACATGGATTGCATGATGGGGTCTTCGTTTAGTTCAAAGTAGGAATCCACGTAGCTCGACTTCACGACCCCGTATGTAATCTTCGAATCTGGATCTGTGATCTGAAGAGAAATCCAAAAGCTACTTCAATTCAGGTTTTAGCGTAAAGGAAATGAATTAGCCATATTCAAAGAGGCCCGGAAAGAGTGAAAGTCATCCTTCAATGTCGTGGTTTTGATGTTAGATGGCGTAACCTGGGATGTTTTACAAGTACTTCCGGGCAATACTTTCACGTCACAATGTTAAATGCGCTCTAAGATAGTTAAAGTTTTTTCAATCGCAGGAAAGAACGGGATTCAAGCCCACGCCTCACAGAGGAAAGGAGACAGATTTTTTTTCATGAAAATAGCTGTGAGAAGCGCTGTTCTTTGACGGGCATTTTTGTGCCTCTTTTTCATTTTGGAAAGGCAAATTGCACGTAAAAAAGCCCCTCACTTTCAAAATGGGGTCAAGTGAAAAACCGTCTCAGTGAAAATAAAGTTTATTTCCACGAGAGTGAAATGTTTCTCATGTCGAGGCTTTGCTCAAAACAGTGTCGTAACAAATTCTTCTAGTTATTAATACCACAATTTTTCGTGTATTCTTTGAAAATTATATGAAAATATCCTAGTTATTTCATTTGATAATTTTTTGTACCTTTTAGATTACCGTAGAAACACCAAAATATCTTAGAGACACCCTTAACTAGAGCTGAGTTTGCCAGCAACTCTAAAATGGGTCCAGTGACCTCTTTGTCATACTTTTATTGCAGTCGCGTATCTAAGTTCATCTTCCTGCAAAGCTGATAAAAGATCAGTGCATGCGGTTCAGAGCCACCTTAATTAAATGACCCTTGAGATTCAACATGGATAAACATGTCTCATACCCTTTTAAACTAATGTAGGCTGTCCCGGATGCTCACCTTTGGATCACGGATCCCGGTGACTTCGGGTTTGGTGTCATCAGATAACAGATGAGCTGTCAGGTTAGCCGTGTATGACGTCACGCACATCAGTGCAAAAATCGCCAGAAACACTGCCATGGCCCGCGCACTCAAACTACGCGGCCTGGAGTCCACAAACTGGTTATCAAAACAAACTCCCCAGCAGTACCACATGCTCTCACTGAGGTCAAACCCATTGTGGTTTCTAGCTCGAAACGACTTACGATGTCCGTAAGGGCTCAAACGGTCCGTGAACCACAGAAGACCCAGGTAGAAATTCACAACTCCTATCATGCCCATCCACAAATAAATTGTGAAAGGTCGGAAAAACGAAAAGTCGAGATCCTCCACCTTTTGCTCTCCTACGAGCACGAGCAGAGCGAGACCTGCGTGCGTCCAGCGCAAAGAGAAATCGATTACCTCCGAACGTGCTTCGTTGGTCATGAGATCGATGGCGATGTCTGCTTTTCCTTCCAAGACGTCTCGTACAACACCGTTCCACGTGCCCGCTGAGGAATTTTTGGCACCGTAGTTTCCATCTCGAACAAAATATATCAGTGGTTCAAACTGAAGTTCTGTCTTAACGTAGCGAAGCACGTCGATTGCCAGTCCATAACAGCAATATCTGGTAAAATTTTGCGAATTCTCAGTGTACTTTTTGCACTCTAATCCTTGATAGCATCCTTCGCTCTCGTCGAAGTCCGCTTTCATAGTTAACGGAGGATATTCCACTACTGCAGCTAGAAGCCGAGGAATTTCTCCGATTTTTTTATCCGGTGTTTCCTGATCTAATTCATGTAATTGCAATGTTAATCCTTTGCTTGTCCATATACCTATTTGTACCCAGCCTTCGTCCTGCTTGTAAGGTGTTTGAAGATACAGAATTTCGTAAGAAGGATGAACATTTTTAGTTTTTTGCCCCATCTGGTTTGAGTCGCGTGAGTTAACACTCGCCTCGAGTAATCTAAACACAGATTTCACGACAATTAAGAAGTTAGTGATGACTGCATCAGGTTCAAAAGAAACTGCTCAAGTTAAAAAGTATTTCAACTATTGAAGTTGCATCAGTGGAAATTATTTTAGATCAATGTCAGTATTTGAGCAACTGCATACCTACCCCTCCCCTAGCTCAACATTAACCCCACCTTATAACAGTTGACTGTTGTTGGGTTAGTGGAGGGGTAGGTTCTCAGATACCGAAATTGAGCCAATGTTTTTACATTAGCTTTTGAAACCATGTTACTCTACATGTCTGCAATGCAAAGCCTCCGATTAACAAACCATGGATTTTCTCGGTCATTAAAGGTACGCGATTGTTTATTGAGCGAATTTCAGTTGGGTTTCGAAAGTAATCAGAGAAGGTTTCGGTTTTGCTTCACTTCGCAGTGTGATTGGCCCAAAAATCTCGAGCCAGCTCGCCGTATCAACACTTAGACCAATCGCGTCTTGTTCACTCTCCTGTTTTCCCGCGCTTCAGGCAGCTTGCTTGTTTTTCACTTTGAATTCTAATTGGCTCCTGGTGATATTTTCCTTTGTTCTGATTGGCTGTGGTTTTTGTTTTGCAAATTTCAATCAAAATATCGTTTACTAAGGAAAGCAAATGGACAGAGGAATGTTCCATGGTAAGACCACGAGGTGTTACATGCAGTGCACAGCAGTCAGGTTTAGTTTGACCCTTAGAACCCTAAGAGTGACCAGCATCTAATTTCTTCTCACAATATCACCCCTGAATCACTCATTAAGGTCACGAGAGTGATATGAATGATTAACAACTAAAGAAGTTCTTGACTATTGGAGAAATTTCTCCTTTCCAGTACCTAAGGAATTGGGATCAATATCAGTATCTAGGCAACTGCCCACCTACCCCTCCCCAAGCCCAACAACAGTCAATTGATAATAAGTTAGGGTTAATGTTGGGGTAGGTGGGCAGTTGCCCAGATACTGATATTGATCCAGGAATTGTATAGAGAAACGTATAGCAAACATGCCTACTGATGTTAGGGTGTAAAGGGTTATTACTGTTAGAAATGCTCTTGATTAAACATACGAGTCATGGATAACCTGGAAAGTGTTCGAACTCAACACTATCGTCATCGGATCCTGGAAAGATTGAATTTGAGTGAGGGTAAAGGAAAGATATGGAGGTGATCACTCATAATCAAGTCGAGTTGCTCCTGCATCTGTCAAACTTTCCTATTCTCAGCGACAGTCCCCCTGCCCTTAATGAAGATGTATCTTTCTCTTACTTGTGCAATTCCATGCCCTTTTCCCATGCGATGGAACTGTAACAGTCTAAAGGCGTCCGCAAATACTGGTGTACCTCTGTGTCGTTCATTGATTCAAACGTTCTCTGAATAACTGACAAGCTATGAATTAGTTGCGTTCTGTCGAACTTTTCTTCGCTTTGAGAAAATCGACGGGTTCTTATAACGTAAATGAAACTGGGTAAAGTGTAAAAGCCTAGTATATTTTCAAGTGACCTTTCAGAGATTATCCATAACATTTCATCGTTGATGAGACGAAAATCTTTTGCGATCCAGAGAATAAAGTGCGCTAGCTTTGAGTCACAGTAGAGGTAAACAGCGTGAGCTGTGCTAGATTTTATCTTTAGTAAATGCTTGATTATTTCTCCCTCTTCGACATTAGGTGATCCAAGGTTGATAATAGTGATATCTGCAAATTCATTTTCGTGGTAATGTTGAAGAGCCAGCCCGTACGACATATCATCACTGACTATTACATACGCTCGTCTCCTCCAAGCAAATTTAAGGAAATCGAGGAATACTGTAAACTGTAAGACCTCGGATGGAACGTTACGGACAAGTGTGCTGAAGTATTCCTGTAAATAACGAAGAACGCATTATTAAAAAACAGAACATAACAGCGCAGCTATAGCGTGTTCGCTCGTAAGCGGAGCCACCTACTCAAGGAATTAAAGTAAAGCAACTCACTAAGATAGTCGTCACGTGATAGCTTATGGTCTGTACGCGCCAAAAAAAAGATTTCGGAAACTATGGCTCTTGAATATTAAATGATGAAGATCGATTCTAAATTAAATGGATCGGTTTCTTTTCACTCCCAGATTTCAATTGTGATTCTCCTTACTATGCGCCATGCGCCATACACCTCTCGTGATGTTATTTCGGAGAATTTGGTACTGGATTGATAATCACCTAATTGGTATTTTTTTTTTATTCTCATCACTTGTCTTCTTGTTATTGTATCGATACTGTAAAGAGAAATTCTGTCTTGATCACTGTTGGAATAAAAAGGGTTGGGCAAAATTGAAAAAAAGATAAGTTCATTACACGGGATATTTTTACAGTTTTCCGTCAATAGGCATCGTGTCCAACGTATTTGAAGAGCTTCGCTCTTAGCAAAAACTCGTCAAAATCATCGTTTTCTAGGTACCAAATTAATCTCACATGATTCAAAAGTATCTAGCAATTATCATAAATTGGTTTTTAGATACGTCGATCTATTTTAAGAACACTGCTGTACTGTCTACACACGCATACTTCTCACCATTGTGCATCTAATTGCATTGTTTTTGTAAGCTCTTCGGTCGCATTAAGGCCTGAATCATTACGCTTAGTCAAGTTGGCTTGGGAATATAAGCCGTTTTTAGCACATAATTTCGAATCAGTGTTGCGGTAGGCTAAGGCTCAATCGGTCAGTATTCACATTCTGCTTTTCTGGCTTAATTTTAGCCTGTAGCCTTTTTGATATCGCCAAACAGCGAAAGCTCCCTGAAAGTATGTATTTTGTATTTCTCGTGACCTTGACTCTCGTTGGATACCAATTTACAAACAATGCCATATCAAAGTAAATATTTTATAATTTTTTATGAATTTTTTCCAAAAACCATTATGTCGTGCGCGTCCTTTTTTAATAATATCGCTGGATCAACGCTATTTTTCAATTATAGCTTTTTCGGCCAGCAGAGCGCTTTGAATGTAATCATGACTTTCTAGCGTTTGGAGCTGAAAAAGTCAGAATTGTATTTTAGGTAAAGTTTGGCATCATGTCAAGCAAACGCAGAAGTTTCAAAATGCATTTTTGCATCAACTAATATATAAATTTTCTGATGAGAAGCTTTCGAAAGCCTTTTTTTACACGCAAGGTAGAGGTTCGTATTTTTCTTGTTCTAAATAACAATGTGCCAATTTCCCTCCGTAGTGATAAAAGTGAGAAAAATAACTGAATGTATAGATCTTGTTTGAATTTCCTTGAGCCTCGAGGGCAGTAGCACTTTGGATTGATTCCGCTTTTAAACAGTCGCTATATTTCCATATGTCTACTGAGCCGATAATACACGACTACATGGTGCTCCATTAGCATGCATCACGTAGAGAAAGTCGCACATTTACTCGAACGGAAAACAGCGAGAATTTTTTTTGTGGAGCAATAGAGCCAAAATATCTGCATTTGTTGTCAAAAGGATTTTTTCTGTCGGTGTCGGAACTGTTAGGGTAACGAAAAAAGGTTAAAAATGGTCGTTCGCTTCAGCAGCAAACGCGGCTCTATATATTAACGTCCGTCCTCCATAATTGGGTTTTTTCCTGAAAACGAAGCTGATGATAAGGTTACAGCAAAACGTCTAAACGCTATCAGGTCTCTCTTCTTGTATGAAAGCTCTAGATCAAGTCAATTTTTTGTTTTGTTCTTTCATGCGTCTTATAAAGAAAGTTTTCCTCAAAAAGACAGACCTCTTTTGAAAAATTATTTGCTAATATATCTGGAGGAAATATGTCATTGTTTTCTTGTAAATTTCCTAAAATTAAAGTCTTTATTTTTGGTTGGTGGAGTACGATTAAAAAAGATTGTTCTCCTTCCTGTGTGGGCATTGAAACAGGAACATCTTGGCAAGCTATTGCAAATACTTCGCGCTCAACTTATTAACATTCGTCCACGCACGTAGATAATGCAAAACCACAGCAAATAGGATGAAAGGTTTCTTAAACTGAAATACCACCTGTCCGCCATTTTTAAGAACCGTTTCACTGAACCACCCTTTAATTGAAAGCGGATTGTCTCTCATCCTGTTACTAAAATATGCGTGATGCCTTTAAGTCAGTTCCTTTGACACCAAGAGTCACTGTTGATCCGATAGTTTTGAATTATTTTTTGGTTAGCCAAGAAAATGATATTCACATTTTTATAGAGTCATACCTGTTCCCTTGATCACAATCATGCATCCCTTTTCTTCATCTCTTTTTTTCTGTTAAACCTATATCTCGCCTCTATTTAACGCTTTGTGTGTAAACACTTTTCAAGGACAAACGAAAAATGGGATTTAATTGATCTCTTATAAATTCGGAAAAAATATGGAATTACAATATATGACTTGTTCCGTGCTCCTTTCTTTTGCGTGAAAGTTACATTGCGTGATCGTGATTTTGCGCGGAGGATACCAAATTTTTTTAGTCGAATATGATAGAAGTATTGTAAATTACGTTGTAATTAATAGCAGTGATAAATTGACACACGACACGATTTGAAAACTAACCGTCAGTAAAATTCGTGAGTGACGCAAATAGATCAAAACAAAAGCAAACACAGCAATTGTCTTGCACGCCTTGAATTAAAATGAAACTGCATGTGCTGACTTTGAATGTGAGCGTGGATTTATTGTTTACATAAAAATTGGAAAACATGGCAAAAGGATCTCAAAGCTCTATACATAAATTTACTTTGAAATGAGAGAACTTTGATCGTCAAACTAAAGTACGGCAATGAAAAACTGACGGTTCGTTTTGTTAAAAGAAATTGAATCAGATCAAGAATTTGTCCTCAGGTCTAAAGTTTTTGTAAAGATTAGTAGGAAGGTTTCTTCAAAGCTGTACATGAATGCTACAAGAGCGATGTGATAAACTAAGCTCGCAAAATGTAAATGTTCTCTTGTATACAGACTGCAATTTACTGTATTTATTTCATTTGTTTCATTTGTTTTCATTTTGTTTATTTCTGTATTTGTATACAGACTGTATTTTACCTTCACGTAATGTCTTACGTGAAGATATAAAATGACTGAAGTTTCTTAAGTGGTAATCATGATTCTGATTATTGAAGTAGAAAGTAGCATACAGTACTAACCATTAAACACAATAAATGAACTAGCCACTTATATGCTCCGTGAAACTTTTTCCTCAGTATAAAACTAAAGAAATGGCGTTTCAGCAAATGCGATTTAAAAGGTTCTACCGGATGTGAGCGATAAAAATCAGACAGGATGTGTTGTAGTATAATCACACGTAAATTTCGAAAGGGCACTCAATGAAATATGCAATCTCTTTTTGCGGCTTTGTATTTAATCGCATTAACAGTCTGTGGTAGAGTCAACACCGGTAAAATCTTACTGTTGTGGTAAACTGCACGTCCAAACAAGGTTTCTGTGTAGGAGTCAAGAGCTTTTACGGTTTAAAATTTGACTTTAAATTAGAAGTTAGCAATTGCTATAAAAAGGGGGCAGCTTTGTTTCTATGGTCACGATCGATTTTCTGTAGGCAATTTTCCTTTGTTCAATTCGTTAAAATGCGTGTTGTGGTGCTTACGGATGTCATGAAAGCTGTAAATATGCGACCAAAATGTGTTTTTTTTTTTTTTTTAGACGCTGAAAAAATAAATTATTCCCCATATTTTATCCAACGTAATTTTTGGTTCCATCGGCAAAGATGTATTTTAACGTCAGATGTTTTAGCGGTAAAGAAGGTTGAACCGTTCTTTTAGTTAGAGATAATGATGAATATAAAACATTTTGACAGAATCTGCGAGAAAAATCATATCTGATCGGATTGTTTGTTTTTCCGGAACTAATTCTGACTTTTCGTCTGTCCTCAGAGACATGATTCTTCAGAAACGTCAGATTATTTTTCAAGGAAATTATCAAAATGATGAGTGAAGTAAAGGATAACGTTATAGTGAGCGAAAAGAAAATAGTCAAAATTTTCAACTTAAAACGACAGGATAATGATTTTCCTACCTTGTCCGACAGCAGGGGCTCTCTACTAACACTTTCTATGGCCGGTATTTTAAAAAAGGAAGCCAAGTGTCCCACAAACTGCGTGAGCTCCAGGTTTCGCGTCTGCAACACAATCACTGAGATGTTGTTTTGTACAATATCGACGCAAAATCTTCTCGAAATATTCTCAAACGGTAGCCCATTTAGCTGAATCGTTTGTGTTTCGAGGGAGATTTTCGTCAAAGTTGTGTTGTGATAGAAGTCAGCCAGTTCCTGCGTGTAATTTCCAAACGATGTTTCGCTGTGTAAAATTCGATCCAAAAAAATTCCAACTTTCACATTTGTGAGATGCTTCCTTCCCTCCGCCAGTAGAAAAAGAGTAAATGTGCAGTAAAGTAAATAAATTCTCCTGGAAATTTCCTTGAGTTTGATAAACTGCATCGGGATAGGCTTTTGAGCAGCGCTGTCTTAGATAGAGCTAGCCTGAAGATCTCGCTTCAACTTAGCGCATGCTCAAACAACTTCGTCGTTTTCTTTCAAATTCTGAGTGCATTTTGAGTCTATACCTGTCACTTAAAAAATGTGCGTAGGATCCGCATTGACAAAAGTAAAACTTCCGCTGGAACGGCCTGAAAGAAAACAAAATTTGACGAAAAACAGAATCAACAAAAATTTTGTACGCAAACAGGGTAGAATCTTCCTAATCGTTTTTCTCGAAAGGGTTTGCTGTTAAGTCATAAACATGAATTGCAGAATATACACAAATCAGCTATGAATCTGAAGCTAAGAAAAAAAAATGAAACTTGCAGAAGGACTTAGGCGACTATGATAAACAAAAAAATAAAATACGGCTTTTATCTACCTTGTCAGTTGTTTAGACCTCGAGTTATCGACTGAAAGCTGAGAAGAGGTGATTATCACAGCGATATCATAGGGAACCAAGCGAAGATAATGAAAAATTCATTTGGAAGGCTTGAAAGTCAATCGGACAGAAAAAGAACAAACATTGCAAATTAAATTCGGCACGTGCAGAAACATTATTTCGGCTCCCTCTTTGGCAGAGAGAAATATTACTCTTTGATTGAGATCTCCACATTTTTCTTTGTTCATAGCATTTGAACTTTAATTTGAAATTAGCTGAAGCGGGCATGCAAATATTAGACACCAAGGTTACCGAAGGATCTCGAGTTTGGGTGAAACCTTATTGTATGTGCACGGAATCAGTGAGCACAGCGCTGGTCTATGGCCAGTATTTACTCATGCCCGCGTTCACCTTAGATAGATGATAGCAATTACGGTTCTATCCAAGAGTAGGAAGCCAACGAAAATAGCTTGTAGACCTGCTTTTTTTTACCTTGTGGCAATTAAACCACAATGCCTTAAAAGGCCTTAAAAGAAAAGCATCTCCAATTTCGTGTCAAAATTGTGAAAATAATAAAACAGTGTCAATAGATTCATTTTACTCCAGTTTTCAAAATTTTCCTGCTGGGTGAAATGACTATTTATACAGAATCCTTGTGTCGCAACAGCACGAATCTTCAGCATATCTTCATCTCTGCAGGCATTGCAGTTTTACAGAGACATTAAAACTCAACGCAGTTTATGCGAGTTTTGATTAATTACAATAAACTGTATCTGTAGACATATTTCACAAGTCGGCTCTTAATTTCCTACCACTAGAAATCTTGATTTTAAATACTTTAAGTTCATCTATTTGAAGTACTTTTTTTCTGTCAAAAAATACGTTAATGCAAAAAAAATATATATGTTTAACAATATACATTTCACTTTTGTCATTATTTGTAATGTTTCTTTGTGAATTGCCCGTGGCAAATTATTAATATGTTTCTTAAATTTTCAGAAGCAATTTAATGGGCAGAAAATTTGTAAAATTGAACTCGATATTAAAAGATTAAAATTATGTTTGAAGCAAATCGGTTTCAAATGAAAGGAGAAAGAGCTTCTAGTTTAAATGAAAATGCAAACCTAGTTTATGTTTTACCGAGATGAATCGCCGATGATAGTCAAATTTAAAATATGCACGCATCAGAGAAATAGCTTTCCTGCGGTTTGTGGTCTCAGCTGCCTAATTTAAAATCACGATTTGACAAAGAACTGGTTTCTTTATTTTTTCATTCTTTGTTGAAGTTAGAGCGCACTTCGAACTGATTTTGGAATGTACGAGTGTGAGTCCCTAGATTTTCGTCGATTGTGAAATATTGTGATTTTAATGCGACGAAAAGAAAAGCGTAGAAAATTAATGCTCTGCTGGAGGGCAGAGGACTTCCATTAGTCTTTTAGACTGTAGACGAGCGTTTCTATTTAAAATCGCGAAGAGAAGTACAGGGAGCGTTTATGACTGTTGAAACTTATAGTAAATGGTTCTTGCGAATTCATATAAGGGGATGTCCTTAAATTCATCTCTAGTTACGGGAGATTATGTATCAGATCAATTCACTTTGCCGCTGTTACAATGAAAATCACCTGCCACTGTAAACAGATACAAAAGCTAGTGCACCAAATTGCATTTACACTTTCTCCAAAAAGCTTACCATGAATGCACTATGGCGTGCTTTGTCGCTTAAGCTAACCCAGTCCACAGCTTTCACGCATTTCTTTTCGTTTTTTTCACTCAGAGGAATCTCGAGTGTAAAATTACCAACAGCCACTAAAGCTTAGCCGATTCAAGGTTCGACTACCTCTGTGGGACAAAAGCTAATTTAAAATTCATTAATTCGGGCGCATAACATGTACACACTAATTTGTTAAGTATCATAAGCTGGTATTGAGTAGTGCATTGTTTTAAGAATTATCTTGACGGAGTTGGAAAATCAGTAAGTCGTAATTGTCAATGCGCTGTAACCCGTTACGAAAATGGTTATCTTTTTGTCTTTCTTTCTTCATCTAGCCCTGGAAATTGAAAAAGAGAAATAGTATATTTTGATTCCCTGGGAACAACATCCAGATTTGAATTCCAGAATATTTCAAAAGAAATTATAGGGTAGGTTTTATTTTATTGATTTTTTTTGGAGTCGATGCATCTTAGAGCTGAAAGCTAGTTATGACATCTACTAAGCTGTGTTATGACAGAGCAAGTCAGTATACTTGGCGATGTCATGGCAACTTTGATCGATGTATTTTTTCTAGTTTAGTTTCCAATAAGTTTGTCTTCTTTATAGCAATTGAGGATGAAAAGGTAACTTTGAAATTTAACGAATGGATAATCGGCAGCTTCCTAAATTAGTAATCATTCCCTTAATCTCATGACCTTCAGATATGACCCAGGAAAGATACTGTACGGTGAATTTAAAAGCCATTCAAGGCCGAAACTGAAATACATTTTTTTCATGTATTGTTCAACGTTTTTCCTCTTTGTTAGTATCGGTGATTTTTTTTTCGTGTACCAGCCGCTTTGAGAATTTTACAAATCATCCTTTCTGTTTGATAGCTTTTTTGCATATACTGTAATTCTCGTTTTGCGCTTTTACGACTTACGTTCCTAGAAACAATCCCATAAGCACTTGCGCAGCAACTTTTGTTTCCAGGCTATCACTCTATGGAAGAGGGTAAAGGATGATAGCGAGCTTTTTGAAAAAGGTCACGTTATTTTATTTGAAGTTTTTTTTCGCTTTACCGAAGAATTAGAGCCAGGAAAATAAGTTTTATCAAATATCAAAGTGTTGACATCTAGAAACTTTTTCTATAAAAATTTAAAGAAATATCATTATTTTTGTTTCGACTGCAGTTTTTTATGATTTAGTGCATTGTCCCGATAGACATAGGCAAGTAAAGGGAAGGCGGTTTTCTTGCCTGTCTGTATTTAACTTTCATTTGGTTCAACAGATGGGTCAAAAAGAAATTGAAAACGAGTTGGAAAATCTTCATAACTCGCAGGAACTTCAATGAAAATTTAGAAACGTGAACATACCAGAGATATGATCAACCTAGGCGGGATTTTTCTTTCCTGAAACTTTTCTAATAAAAAAAATAATTTGTTTGTTTGGTTGTTTTTTTTTTTCGTTTTCGTTCTTTCTGTTGTTCTTTTTATGTATATATAAAATTTGGGTGTGATTCACTTGCGTTTCGTTTATAAACTTCACGTTTTTCATTAGAGCATTATTTCATATTTCATGAAATAAGGTTTTTTTTTTTCTAAAATGTCAACCATTTTTGATCGAATTAGATTTAAGAGTAAATTCACTATGTAACAGTTTTAGTAATAAGGTGCAGAAGCCCGAACGAATATCGGTCCTCGAATTTAAGCCAGTAACTTTATCGGATCACTCCATCCAATTTTTTTTTCACACTTAATTTCGATTCATACGTAATTTACCTTAATGTATGTTCAAGAAGAAAATATAATGTTGATTGATAACCATTTAAAGAGCAATCTTTTAATTCCCTATTAAAAAACCCCAGATCCATAACTGGTTGATTTTTTTTCTCTTACTGAAAACTCGAGGCAGAATTCCAAAATACCTAGTGTCCTTCTGAGACTCTCAGGACCTAAGTTAATAATCTTTTTCTTTCGATTTTCAGGGACTCGGCAGTCCTCTTACAATATTTTAGGGGAGGCCTTTTTATGGTTGAAGGTTCAATAAGCTGGGTATTTGTGCGTTGTGTCAGTGCACGACGGGTTTTATAACAAAAAAAAAAAAAAAGTTTTGATCTTTATTACGATTAAGTAGCTATAGACGGTTACGATATCTCCTTAGTCGCTGAATCTTCCACCTAATATAGTTAACGACATAACTCGCACGAATGGCAGGTAATCTTGAATTGAAAAAGATTACGCGGAATGTAATCATCGTTCATCAATTTAGTGACTAAAAGATTGCTGAGACAACTTCGCGCACGACGTGTTAAATGGGTTGAAATAAAAGCAAAATAATTTGCTGCCATATCATTTATCTTTTTATCCCCAAAGGATTAGATGCTCATTAAGTTTCTATTGTGGCGAGAAAAATATCGCTGAAAAAACAGGATTAAGTTAACATAACATGAGTGGAATCTAATCCAAAAATTTAGTTTTCTTTTAAGAGCATCCATTCCATGTATTTTGCCCCATGTAAACAGGTAACATGTACAGCAAAACCGACTAATTAGCGGTCAGAAAAATCACAAACTGTACATTTGTTGTTCATTGAAATGATTCTTGAATAGCTGAAGCAACAGCATGCATCCTAAATTTGTGTAAGAGAACAAATCAGGACAAATGAATTCATGAACTAGGACGTTTTGATTTAATTTTCGTAAACCAACGTCTCTACTTAAGCTGTGATGTTAATGTAAAAACTTTATTTCAAGTCACAGCAACAAGAGAGTGTCAGCTTCCAGTCACTTTCATTAAAAGTACAAAACGAGTTAATTGACTGCTCAGTTTTGAGGTTTTAACTTCAAAAATTAACTTTGCACCAGCACAGACATTTCATACACATCCCTACCTTGTAACCCGAACTTTTGCTTTGCTCGTGGCACGGAAACACTTGAACTATCCCCAAACGCGTGCCTTGGCTTGTGCGGAGCACTTTTCACTGTGAATATTTAGTTCAATTCATTGTATAGGTCTCGATTTACGCAGCACGCTTCTTCCTCCACGTACGTTGTTTGCCAGCGTGTCCTAATGTATGCACATCTTTGTCTCCTTTCCAATGCAACTTTAGTCGTCTCTCTAGAGAAATAGAGCCTTTTAAGTTGAATTTTTCTCATTGTTCTTTGATTAATGTCTCCAGAGAGTCTCTGGAAACTTCATTATATTACCATTTGAATAAGACGTGACAGAAGAGTCGACTTGAAGTCTTAGCTGAAAAGAAGTGAGGTATAATAGATGTCTGGTATAACACCAGCTCATTAGATCATAGTTTTAAATGATAGACGTCTCGCAAATCTTAAAACTAAGAATTATGATAGGACGCTTTTTCTTTTTACCAAATAGAAAAAGCTTTCCATTGTTTACCAGATCTTTGTAGCTACCGTTTCGTTTAATTGGAAAGACAATGCCGAATTTAATCAAAACTACACCGTCCCTAGAACCTTAGTTCATGTTCTTTTGATCTCATCATCAGTGCTATCAGTGTTAATTTTCTGCTATGCACTAATGTCTTAGTAAAACTAAATTGGGACCTAATTACGGGAAGGTATTTAATAGGGATTCGTTGGATAAAAGAATCGGTTTTTGTTGTAACATTAATATCCTACACCGTTTTTGTTTTCGTTTTTTTTTTCTGACAGAGTTACAAACAAACTTTCGGTACAAGCAGTTGTTGGATTATCGATGGAATTCGAGTTGACCGTAAATGTAAACTTCCTTCCGAACGTTTTCTGTTTGCCTGGAAAAGTGCAACTCAAGCGCTGTGATACAAACATGTACTGTCATTATGATCTACATAATCCCGCAATAAATATTTATTCGCATAAAATGCTTGATAGGTATCGACTAGCCAATGAAACCACTTCCCTGCCTTTGTTCAAAATTTAGTAATTTTTCTTACCTCAAGTTTTGGCTACAAACGCCATTTTATTTGTTAAATAATACAACAGTTAAGAACGATGAACGAAAAAATCACGCCAGGTAGCAAAAGGATTTTTTTTTTCTCGTTAATTCGTGTTTAGAAAATTCTCGTCTGTACGGTGGCTCACAAGTGTCACGGCAAAAGAAATAACCTCGCGGCAAAAAAATAACCTCGAGGCAAAAGAAAAAGACTCACGGCAAAAGGAAGAACCTCACGGCAGAAAGAAAAAGACTCACGGCAGAAAGAAAAAGACTCACGGCAAACGAAAAAAACTTCACGGCAAAAAAAAAAGACTCTCGGAAAAAGAAAAAACCTCACTGCCGAGAGCGAGATTTACCTTGTTTTACAAAACATCTTCATTGTATTCATTGTAACCGCCGCTCCTCCCCCTCCTCCCCCCTTC